ATATAATTAGACCAAAGAGGTGAGGAAGTACTGTCTGGATGTCTGAGGCCGAAGGTCTCGATGGAGAGAAATATTATTAAGTTTAATCATAACAAGACAAAGTGCTTTGTATTTGGAAGATACAGTAGCTGATTCCAGAGGCATACCATCTTTAGTTTTTGCTCTGACACATGGAACTCGTTCTTCTGTTCTCTTTAACTTACAGTTCCTTCTTGATGAGCAGATGGCAATGTGACCTGGAGGACGTTTTGATTGCTTCATCTGGTGTAACAGATAATATAAAATTATAGATTGCAGTTTTAGAAGGTCAAATTGACTGAATATTATACATTTTTACAAAACAATATGAACAATTTGGCAGTCAAATTAATTGTTCAGAGAGGTGACAGATTCCTTTTCCTGAGTAGCTTATGTTTTTATCTTTTACCCCCTGATTCCAGAGAAAAGACTATTTTATCATATTTATAGCAAGATTAAAAAAATTAAAATAAACAGGGTATAAAAATAGAAAGGGCTAACAGTAAGATAACTAATGAAATACTAAGATTAATTACTGTAATGAAGGGAAAAAAAGAATAGAAAAAAAGAAGACTCAAAATAAAAGTACCCAAATAAAATTTTAAAAGCTTACTGCTAAGCATCTCTACATAGATGACGTGGACAAAGTTATCTGGGAAGTTTGATGCTATTAAGTCTGATGAAGTGGGCAAGCTTTAAAAACTGTTAGCTCCATCACCTCGGTTTTAGATCCCTGTTCCTCCTAATGGGCTAAGGCCTACTGGGAGATGTCATGTGATTTGGCCATAGCGGTGATTAATTCTTCTTTAAGAGAGGGTGTTTCCAGTGGTCTACCCCCTCCACAAAAGATGCTGGATCTAGTGGTAGTAGGCAATTTTTGGGCAGTTTTCAACCATCCATTTTGGGGGGAGGTTGTGGAGAAGATTGTGCTGCAGCTTCAAACATCTCTGGAAGAAGTAGATTATCTGAATCCCTTTCAGTCATTATTCAAATCTGAGATGGCATTGATTGCACCCTTGGATGATTTCTGGCAAGAGTGGGAGGTGGATGGCATGCTGTCCTTACTCTTTATGATCTCTCAGAAGTTTTCAATAACACTGAATACCGTGTCACTGATAACACTGACACGGTATCCTTCTGGACTGACTGTGTGGGTGACACTGAATTATGCTCATTATCTTCCTTCCTCCAGGTCTGGTTTGCTGTTTGTTGATAGGGGAGAAGAGGTCAGCACATGGTCCCAATTGTGTAGGGTTGCTGCAGAATTTGTTGCTCTTTCATCTTTTGTTTGATATCACCATAAACTCTCTGGGTGAGATCATCTAGGTGCTCTTGTATTCTGATTAAAGCATTTGTGATTTTAATAAATTAAGCATACCTCAATAGATTAATATAAAATTGTACAGCGTAAGAAGTGACAATTGTTGCTAATCTTAATGTCTGGATTGGAATTGTAATCTCAAAGTTTGGGAATTATAAAGGCAGAAAGGGAATTATTCAGCATATAGTTTCTGGTCTGTTGTTTATAATGCTCAGTTTATTAACAATAAAGCACTTTGCATATAATAATCAGTCGGAATCTTTATGAATCTGGCTCGTTGTTAATAACTGGTTGGTTTATGCTGCCCAATCTTTCACCATTTGACTCCTGCCAGCAGAAGAAGCCAAATCTGTCATTATGGAAGTTGTAGTTCTGAATTTGTGAGGTGTCACCAAGTTGCTTAACTAAGGACTAAGTAAACAAGGTTATTTCTATCTATGCTTTTCTTGGTTTGTTGTTTTTCTAATTCGAATCTGAAACTGCCTTTTTTGTTAGGCAAATAACAGGGATTTCAATATTAATATGAAACTAAATAAGGCCTCAGTAGCGATGCCTTTGATGAGAACCAAATAGAAACAGTTAGATTGCAGTTACATAGTGGCTTCTTTTAAATGTCAGAATTGATAATAAAATTGGTCACTATTAATCAATAATTAAATGTGTTTGGTTATTATATCTGAAGATGCAAGATATGGAATAACAGTCATAAATTAGGAAACATTTTCTGATTATTAAAAAAAACTAATAATAAGAAAATGAAACCTATTATATTGGGAGATTGGATTCTTTATGCTGGTTCCATGCAGAGCCATCTGGTGAGGATGTTTTAATTTAGAGATGTATACAAAAGTCAGTTGCCTAAATATTTGTTTAAATTGTTGTTTTATTTTTATGGGTACAGTAATAATAAACAAATACATATGTTAACCCCTGAAACTTCCCACAACATATGGCTTAAGTTGAGCACTACTTGAAATTATGGTTGGTTGTTTGGTTGTTTGGTTGTTTGGTTTAATTGATTTATATAGCCAACCTATTTGACACACAACTCAAATTTATGTTATACTTCATAAGAAGCCCAGCCTAATTCATGTTTCTAAACATATAGGACAGCTGTGGTTTTGATTAGTGTCTATTAATTGCTTATGGGCCAGAATATGAACACAACTCAGAAGGACATTGGAAACCGCACCAATTATTCCTAAATAGAACAGTCATCCAAAATTCAAGGTCTAGATGGATTTATTTGAGTAGCTGTAAAGTGCAGCATATATCAAGGAAAAGCACTGTACCTGCTCTGTACTGCATAGGCAGATAATCACATAGGGATATGGATATAAGTTCAAGAGTGGAACTACCATCAGCCATTTCCTCTACATAGAGGACATTGAATTGTGTGCTAAGAGTGAATTGACTCGCTCATCCATCCATCCATCCATGAATCTACAGTGAGGAGATTGGTATGTTGGATGTCATTTGGACTCAAGAAGTGTAGCCAAATGCTAATAAAGACAGGGAAGGTAGTTGACTGATGGATGGAATGATCAGAAATCAACATAACAGCCATGCTGACCAGCCACAAGTACCTTAGTATCCAAGAGTCACATGGTTACCATGAGGAGGAGGCAGGGAAGACCCCAACACCAAAAATAAGATAGGCCCTGAAGAGCCAGCTCATAAAGAGCAAGTTCCATGCCGTCAACATATATGCTCTGCTGGTCATTAGATACCCTGCCAATATAGTGACCTAGCCAAAGGAGGACATGGAAGATAATGATGTGAAGATCCAGAAACTCCTCACAATCTATAAAGGTTTCCACCCAACATTCAACACCCAGATATAGTACACCAGTTGGAAAAAATATCTAAACCAATGTCCTGGATGAAACCCATAGCATCTGGGAATACATCAGTAAGATAACACCCAAACATGAGCTGCTGAGAGAATATCTGAGTCAGCAATGGACAAAGGAGGAAGATCAAGCAGAGGAAGTGCCATTGCGGGACAAGCCCTACAAGGAATGTACTATAAAGAGATAGCTGAGCTGGCTGAACATTGGGAAATCCTGCCAGTGACTGAAAAGAGCTGGACTGAAAGACAACACTAGTCACAGCAGCACAGGAACAGGAAGTAAGCATCAGATCTATAGAAGCAGGGGTCTGCTGCACTAGCTAGGACCCAAGTGATGTTCTGGTGCTTGGGGGCTGTACGGATCTGGGTGAGGATGAACAGACTCAAGCTTAAACCCTCCAAGACTGAGTGGCTGTGGTTTTCGTCATCCCGATTTGTGCATCACGTACCATCTTTGATGATAGGGGGAGAAATTTTAGCCCCCTCAGAGAGGGCCCGCAATCTGGGAGTCCTCTTGGATATGCAGCTTAGTTTATAAGAACATCTTACGGCCGTGACCAGGGGGGCCTTTTACTAGGTCCGCCTAGTACGCCAGTTGCGCCCCTTCCTGGATCGGGATGACCTGTGCACAGTCACTAACACCCTCGTCCTTTCTCGCCTGGACTACTGTAATGCTCTCTACATGGGGCTGCCCTTGAAGAGAACCCAGAGGCTCCAGCTGGTCCAGAATGCGGCCGTGCGGGTTGTCATGGGGGTACCTACGCGCTCCCATGTTACACCCTTTTAGACAGCCTGCACTGTTTGCCGGTTGTTTTCTGGGTGCAATTCAAGGTGTTAATTATGATCTTTAAAGCGCTCCATGTAGAGGCCCAGGGTACTTGCGAGATCGCCTACTGCCACCGGTAGCCTCCCACCGTCTAGTACGATCCCACAGTTGGCCTCCTCAGGGTGCCGTCGGTCAGGCAGTGTCGGCTAGTGACCCC